TTTTTATCAAAAATTATTAACATTTGTTTAATTAAAATGTAAATTGGTATAAATGTTATTGGAAGATGTATGGGATTCAATACGCAGCGCGCGCGAAGCGCGCGCCTGTTATGTACTAGTAAAATAAATTTTAGAAATTTATTCTATCATAAATTCTGACATGAAAAGTAATTATGAATTAAAGTAAAAATAAAGCACTGTAAAAAAAAACTGTACAATTTGCTATATAATAATTCTTTAAATAATAATTATGTTACTATTATCTAATAATATTAGCGATACATACATTTCTTAACATGAATTCAACATCTTCCGCAAGCTTCTTGTATTCATACCACGGCACATTTCTCATTCTTTGCTGCATACGAGTCCGCAACTCCAATTCCTCAAGATATGCTGTCACGTTGGAATCGATATGCGACAGTTCTTCCCACGGGGGTGGAATGTATCCGTCTGCTATGTGACTCGTTCCCTCGGCCAGGTCCGTGGACAGCATCGCGACAGTATCGAGTAAAATTCCCGTACAATTGTCATCGCATGCTAAACATTTCACATAACGTACATAATGTAATAAAACAGTGGATTTGAACGGCGTACGTTCTAACTTTCTAAATCTACTCTTACAGATCTTTTAATTTTAAGACAAATAAATTATTTGGTTTGTAAAATAAACTTACATGTGCAAACGTTGTCTATGTAAACGTGTCGATACGCCGTGCACTGGGAGCAATCCCTGCCCGTGGAGCCGTGCCTGCATTTGCACCGCCCTGTCTCGCCGTCGCAGCCGTCGCTCAAACTTCCTGCCAAGTTGCAATTGCACGGAACGCACTTGCCGTCCGGAAGGCCGGGAGAGCCGTAATAGCCGTAGGCGCAACGTTCGCATTTTCTACCGATGTAACCTGCGACAAGCCGGAGGTAAACGAACGGGAAAAATATAAAAGTATAAAATCCACTTTAAAGATGATTTATGATTCGCATCAAAATTCAAAACAAAATTCGATTTATATATGTATAATTTTGTGTGCCGTGTAATACGGAAAACATTTAAAAAATTAGATACAAAGAAATATTATATATGTTAAAACAGACAGACAGCTAAATATAAAATTATAAATAAAATTTTATTCTGAAATCTGACGTGATAATTATAGATAAATAGAGCTCCAAGAAAAGTCTGACGCAAATTGTAGATTATAAAGACTTAATAGCTTCGAAAAAACTAGTATTTAGAATCTTAAAAAAAATACAATTTAGATATTAAACATATTTTCGACGATCTAAGAAAATATTAAAATTAATTAATTAGACAAATGTCTTATTAAGTTTGTTGTGACTTTTTTTCACATGCACGTATAATTTTTTACATTATTGTCTAGGTACCTGGCTTGCAATGACAAATGGGTTCATTATCCGCGTGAACCACGCAGGTACTCGAGAACCTTTTATCGACTTGCGGGCACGGGCACGGCGTGCAGCCTCCCAACTCCGGATGACCGTAGAAACTATCAGCGCAAACGTTGCAATGTGCACCAATCGTGTTTTCTCTGCAGTTCTGCAACATTTTAATTTTCAATATTATATTAATAATTATTCAGTTTAGATCCGCATATTTGTTTTTTTATACTAATTAAAAAACCACCTGTAACATTAAATAATCTATCTATTCCTTCCTATTAGAAAAACGCGCTAGGATATTTTTCGTCGCAAGAAAAGAAATTAATTTACAGAAATTTACAAAATTTATATGAAAATGCAGATAGAAAAGAAAAAAAGATAGTAAGTCCGTAATCAGATTCGAAAGCTCCTTAGTAAGAAATTTATCTTGTATCAACTCCAAGCTAATATCCTTATACACTTGTCTCTCAGCACACTTCCTGTCGCGCTATCACCTCCGCGAATAGTGAACACTCGTAGGAAAATGTTTGAGTAATGCTTACCAAGCAATATCCCGTCTCCCTGTCGCACACCTCGGTTCTCCCGTTGCACTGGCAGCGCTTGGCTTGTCCGACAAGATCGATCACGATGGTGGACGTGGCGGTGGTGTTCTTGTACCACCTGTAAAAGCCGATGCTGGGATCCTGGCAGGACGTGCCGTTGTATTCCGGCGGGCACTGACAGATCTCCACTCCGGTCGCCAGCGGTGGCGTGTGCGTAGGCATCAGGACGGCGGCGTCGAGAGAGGCTTCCAGCAATCTGGACGAGACGCAGATTAAAACACTGTTAGAAATTTATAAGTATGTTTTTGAAGCGTAACAGAAGTGATGAGTGAAATAATTTCTGCGTCTAAGATTTAAAAATTAAACATGGAAAGGTACATATTGAATAATAAACGCAATTCATTTTATTCTCTATGATGTGTCTTTCTAGTTACGCACGTAGTTTTCGTAAATTCGGCGTTGTCCGAGGCTTTTACGAGGATGTACTGCAGATTTTGCAACGCGACCATTAGAACCTCCCTGGAGACTTTGTAATCCGGCCTGTTTTGCAGCTGCCACAACGATTCGTGGAATCTAAGATGATATATAGAAATGCATATCAGTCGTAAGAACAAATTGAATGTTCAATAAATCTGTACAAAAATTCCGTGATATAATAAATTCTAATTAAATAAATTATAAATTTAATTTTAATACAATTAAATATATTAAAGTGTCTAATTTACATCGAATCACGTGCTCTTTTCTTTCTTTTCAATTAATTGCGAATATACCTGATTTCATAACGATTATCGCTCACTGGTAGATGCAGATAATACTCCAAGACTATCTTATTGTTGCCTTGCAACTGCACCACGGGATATCGAAGATTCGATCTCAGAGGTATCCCACCTTCCGTCGAGGTTTTAAAGCGTAAGAATCCTCCGTAAGAGACGACCTTAAAGGATTAATGCGAGTCTAATACTATGCGGCTCAATTAGTCACGAATAAATTATATATATACAATTTTATTTAAATACGATTTTAAATAAATCTCGATTTGTTTTTTTTTACTTAGAAAATTCGGAACATTTTTAACGAAAAAAAAAATTACCTTGTCTCCCAGAAAAGAGTCCGGTAGTCTCCAGTATAAGGGATAACTATAATAAAGAGTCGTGGGCAACGTGACGTCGCCATCGGATCCAGGAATTACGGAGAGGCCGTTTGTCCCGTTCAATCCACCGTTCACCGCTGGCAATACAATCGTGGAGCCAAAGTTCGTTATCTGTTTAATCAAATCTCACGATAAAATCTTACGATCAAATGATTTATACGACGTGCAAAATATTATTCGATAAAGCTCATTCGCGTCAAGATTTAACAGCCGAAACGGATATCTTACTATTATATCGCTGACCGTGTCGTTGATATAAAGAACGCGAGGCCGAGTCAATCTGCGTTGACCCCAGCTGAGTCCGGCCTGCTGACACAGAGTGCTTCTTCCAAAGCAGAAGCACTCGGTGCATCCCTTGACATTGTGCGCCGCAAGACCGAACGTGCCCTCCTTGCATTGATTGCACTGCCGCCCGACGACCAGTTCCTTGAAAATCATTTTTTATTTAATGTCTTTCCAGTATTATACCGAAAGCAAATGTCTATACAACTTTTCGAAAATTCCAGGATTAATTTTAGACTTAAATCCGCAAGGAGATAACTAAAAATAATACAACCTTTCGATGTTGCAATTTTAAATTTTCGCGACTGGAATATAATGATTCGAAAAATTCGTTTTGCATTCTATAAAGTTTACATACGAGTTAATTCCCTAATTATTTAAAGAGTTCCCTCAGTATTGATTTGTATTCGGCACTTTCTTCTCCCGTTGCGGAAAAAAAATCTATCTAAATTTTCTAATTGAATTTTCGCCCTTTCTCATCTCTCTCTCACCTTGCACGGACACTGTCCCTTGTCGTCGCACTCGCAGACGCCGTCCCGGCAGTGCGTCGTGCCGGCCAAGCTGCAGCCGCAAGGACGGCACCTCGGATAGCCGTAGTAACCCCTGGCGCATCTCTCGCACCTGAGCCCGTCGTAACCGATCCGGCAGGGGCACTGACCCTGATGGTCGCACTGGGATCGCGTGGCGCCCAGGGTGCAGGCGCACGGTCTGCAGCCGACGCGCGGCACCAGGTCCCACGCGCCCGGTCTGCACCGGTCGCAGTGCTCGCCGTAGGTCAAGCGGGGACACACGCAACGACCGGTGTCGGGGTCGCACACGTGACCGGGTCGCACACACGGGTCGCACACTGTGAAGCAATCGTTATAGGGTCTCACATCCGTTCTCCGGTCTTCGCCGAGATTTTATAGAGGTAGTAAAGGAGGCGAGTTCACACAAAGGGTTGTTCTATAATTTCTTTTTCTTCCTTGATTTTACAGCCGATAATTCCGCGCGCTGATAGCTTATCAGTGACAGGAAAAAGAAGTAGAGAACTTTGTCGCGTATTGAATCTCAGATCGCGCGAATAAAGATTGTGAGGCAAATCTTTACTCTATGAATCTCTACTCATCGTTCAATTTAAGATAAAAATATCAAAATTGCAAAATTTATAGTATGACAAAGAAATTGCGAGAGATTTGATTAAATTGGAGACTATTTTGGCTAAGAGATGTTACAGGCGGAAAAATTTATTTGACTTACATTGACAGCCGTTCGTAGAAAATCCATAGTATCCGGATAAACAACTGTCGCAGCGCGAGCCACCCACGCCCGATTTGCAGTAGCATTCTCCTGTATTGTTGTTGCAGGATGCGTTATAGGATCCCATAGAATCGCACCCGCAAGGCGTGCAGCCTGTCCCCGACAATAGTCCCCAATAACCGATCTAAATCATATCAAATCCAATAATTAAAAATCTTTACAGAGTTACAAAGACGAATGTCAGATATACGAGAATATCATATATCGCGAAATTGATTGATATTATTTTAAAGCTTGCGTTGCATTAATAGAACAAAATAAAATGGTAGAATAAATATTTGAGAATCATCGTGACTTGTCTAGATTAAAATCTACCGGCGTCAGTTTCTTACTTTATCGCGATAATTGTCGCGAAGGATCCGCTGTACTGACTTTGATCGTCGGATTTCGACGGACAATACGATTTATCATGTCTGACTATGTCTGGCGGTTACCACTTCTTATATTACAGATCACTGAATATTTCCCGATATCTGATACAGTCGCATTACGAGGCAGGGCATTTGTCTTCGTTGCTAGATGCCATTCGAGATAATGCACCTCAACGTTACACATCACTGAGTTTATCTTAATCGACGTTCGATATTGCTTGATCAATCCGAGTCTCTTTCTCCTAATATTATCTTCTAGTATTATCGATCATAGTCTAACAGTTTCTTTAAATTAAATGTACAAATTCAATCTGATTTATAAAATTTGAAAATTTGCGTCATAATATCGTAAAAAATCAAATTTTACCTTGCATTCGTTGCACTGCCTGCCAACAACTTGAGGTTTGCACTGACACTGTCCGGACACGATGTCGCAGGCAGAACTCGTGGATCCCACATTATTGCAGCCGCATCCTGCAATCAGGTGAAATATTATCAGTAAAAAATAATTAATTCCCTTTGTAATTTACTTATTTTAAACACGATACATATGGCATCGATAAAATCTTGCCGGAATAAATCGAAATATAAATCCTCAATCTTTATATTGAAAAGTGTTCTTTGAAAAACTAAAACTAAATTACATCTCATATTCAAATTATTTCTTCTATTATATTTAAAATATAATTTTTTAAATATATAGCAATAATTTTTATCGTTCTCCATCTCGCGATAAATTTCTTAATACAAAGTGATCCGCTCGATGTCAAAGAAGCTGCGATTTCCGAGAGGCGGCGAGAGACGTAATTAAATGATCACCGCAGACAAGCGTCGGCAAGTGTCGACAGCGCTCCCATTAATAATTCATACAGGATTATTCTTGCTTTTCGCGCTAATTGCGCACCGACGAGACCGTTTGCGCCGTTTCTAATCGATTAGAGCGCGACGCGAATTCTTTCGGGTCCGCCCGGCGCGAAAAAATTTCACAGCGTGACCGCGCGGCGCGACTGACTGGCTGCACGCGTTCGCCGATTTCGTCCGGCGTGGTCACGCGTGAGCGGCTTGTTTATGCAGCATCGAGCGGATTTTGCAATTAGCGATGCCCGTCGCTGCGAGCGCCGTTTCATTGTATTCAAATGCCGCAGACGAACGGCTGTCGTTCTCGCCGCGACTGTCGCCCCGGTAATGCCGCGGAAATTATAAATTATGCATGGTCGTATCGAGCCGGCTGCGGAGCGTATCGATTTCCTATTAACGGTGGGCCCTTTTACAAAGGGATTACCCGCGAGAATTGATTCGGCGATGCGCGATCGCGTGTTTACACGCCGCCCGTCGCGATCAGATCGCGCGATAAGCCGCGGGAGCACATTCATGCGTGATTATCATGAATAATATAGAAGATGAATGTAGCGTGCATGAATGTACCTGTGGAGAACATGATTAAAACAAAATAATATTTATACCTACTTTTAACATTTATATCTAATATTTATATCTACTTTTGTGAAAAATATATTTCTTTTTGAGGAATAAATTTTTAGAATGTATTAAATAATTTTTGATTGTAAGAGCCACAAATGCTAATCTATGCATTTTCAACCAAGCATCGTATCAACTCTGTTGTATAAACCATTAGACAGTGTACGACACAAATACTCAGGAGAAATGAATAATTCCTTTCGCGGTGTTTCTCCGCGTATCAGCTCCGATCGATCATGTCACGCGGGGCATTATTCCCCCCCTGCCTTCGGCGCGATTATGTGCATAATTACTCTTACATCATCGAGTAACAATCGCATTACACGGAGAATTATATTATAGCCGGCACGGCCCCGTAAATTAATATCGGCATTGTCGAGTCCGATTGAATCGGAAGTTATTAACTGTTGAATAATAAGCGAGGTGAATTATTTGATCGATTTGTCCGCGGAGTAAAATTTCATTTAAATTCTTACGTGTGTGTTACGAAACATCTTCTCGCGCAATTTGTAAATTTTTCTTCGTTCGACAGCGGATGTAAAAAGAGCCGCGATAATTGTATTAAATAATGTAAGGTTTATGAGAACGTTGGTCCATGAAAGCGCGGACGTACCGAAGGCAATCGCCAGCTGGGCATCGTAAGAAAGCACGCGTCGTGTGCAAAACGCACTTTATGTACTGTAATAATTTTAATAGCGTACGGTACCTCGGCCGAGAGGCGGCCGAGAGAGTTGAATAATTAGCCGTGCGTTTCAGCAATTTCGAAAATTAATTAACGACGCGATAATCAGGAAGAGAGCGAGCCGAAAGGTCCCGATGGTGGCTCGTTCGCGACATGCCACGCTACGTACGTACGTAAATCTTACGTTACTGCCGCCTTATCAATTAACCCCTTAACGACGAAGGAGATGCCACACGGCTCTCTCTCTCTCTCCCTCTAGTTGACGTCCAGAATGTACAAGGCTCAAGCGGGAATGCTCATAATATAATATATCAGCGCTAAATCGTTAAACGCTAGAGATATCGGGTGTCTAATTAAGATCCAGCCGACTGCGCTATAATCGTTCTTGCTCTCTGTAATTATTTGCGCAGGAAACACGCACGACGTATAAGAAAAATCGAAGCCTTGTATATTCACTCATTTACGCACATTCGCGCGCGACAAAAGTCACAGTCTTCTTGCACCGTGCAAATGGGTGAAAATTTAAATCAACTGTTACACGATACACGGTTACCCGATACGGTCATCCGATGTGAAAATTTTCGCGTCCGCAGGTGCGAAGACACGCGGCGGCGCGTGAACGAGGTGACAGCACCGTAATTATCGCGCCGCCGTGCCGTCGCGTCGCGCCGCGTATTAGTTTAACGAGCCGCGACGTTATTACACGCGGAACTATCAGCTAACGTCTCCCGATTTTCGCCTCAAACGGAGTGCGATTTGAATAATTATCGCGTCCCGCGTATGTGTACGTGCGCGCGCGCGGACGCTGCAGATTTATGCCGTCTAATAATGCGCTAAGTGTTTTCCGCGAACGCGCGCAGTCGAGTGCTGTCACACGTTGACACGTGTTAATTTCACCAAGTTATATTACACGCGTGTCACCGTGGATTTTCGCACGGCAGGCTGCTCGTTAGAAAAATAACGCTAATGGCATTAACGAGCCGCTCGAGTCAGATACAATTATTATAGCTTCAAGTAGTTCCGTGCATTTATTTAAAATTTGGCAGCGTAATGTTTTAATGTTTTATGTTTCACTCCTACAGCGATAGGCGTATTCTAACGTCATATTTACATTAAATGACTGTATGATGTATAGAGCTTGTCTTCCGCAACTCTCATATTAATTCTTATTCCTTTCCCTCGCCGTGAGGAATCCGCGCTCCTCTCCCATTTACCAAAGCATCCTCCAAGCTCCACCGACGATGCGTGGGAGGGAAGTGAAATTTCCGCTTAATAATGGAAACAAATTCGCGCTGGCGAGGATTAAAGGCTCGTTAGCGCAAATATAGTGGCGGCGTGACGCGTGATTAATTCAGGCAGCCCGTAAACGCGGCGAGCGGCGGCTATCGCGCGCATAAATAACGATCCCGCGTCTCTCTAATCCCGCCGGGCATTCAGGGCCCGCGTTCGCGGGCGAATAAATATCCGTTCTCTCGTCGCACAAAAGAGTCCGCGGCTGAGATCGGGCCGCGAGGGCCGATCGCTAATCGTGACAAATACGCGTCGTTCCTTAACGTCGCCGAGTCGCAATAACGTTTATTAATTGTAACGAACCGATTCGAAGTCTTAACGCGTCGGTACGGCCGGCGAAGTGATTTAGGAATGAAATCACTGCCGGCGAGGAGCCCCGGAGTGGATTTATCCGATTATTAAGGCGGACACGTTCGTGCAATTAGACAGGCGCACGTATATGGGACTCGCGATATACAAATGACGTACTAACGTGATTAACATGATTCATTAGCGGTGACATTAGCAATCAAACTGCAAGCAGATTTATGATTCCAATAATGATGACCAAATAAAGATTTACCTTCAATTAACAGAAGTAATTCATAATTTCAATAGAAATAACTTCTAGAGGACAAAAATTATGCAATCTTATGTAAAAAGTTAATTAAAAGTAGGACGAGATATTACATAACGATCATAATTTCCATTTAAAAGATTTTTATAGCTTACTTTTTACGAATACAACTGCACGTCTTGTTTCGCAATTTTTTGCGTGAGCAGAGGGCAACTGCGATACTCCGCGTTCCCGTGAAACGCGGTAGCGACGAACGTGCGTTTAAGACGCGAGCACGACCGTGCGCAGGAATTACCGTGGCAAGCGATCGTGATAATGAGCGACGCACCGCCAACGGGCCTGTAATCTTGCCGTTTATAAACAAAACGTTTTGAGCTACTCTTTCTTTGAGCTACGTCGCGGCCTGTTTCGAAGGTAGCATTACGCAGTAAGTGATACTTGACCGGATCGCCGATTTATTGATCGATAAATTGCACGCTATTACCGCGCCGATCGCCGGAGACGCTCGTCGCAAAGGCTGCTGTCAATTTTAGCGGAGTTCCCTGCGCTAGCATCGGAAAAATTGGAATCTCGCGCGGAATACAGATGGCCAGGCTGCTGTCGATCGTGAGTTTAATGATAGCCTCCGCCGGAGGTTGACGTATCTCATTAAGAGAAAAATGACGTCGAGAACGCTGCGTCCACTTAAATTTAATTAAGCTAAGAGTGAATTCTCGCGAGAAATTGATTAGTCATCGATATTAAAACGATTAAATCCGCACGATGATTAAGTCTACAGTGTGGATTTAATGTCGTGTAAAGTGAATTCTATAAGCAAACGAAGAGGGAGCACAGAAAATAGTCCCTCCGGCGTTTCAATTTTATAAGCGGAGTATTAAAAGCGGAGAATCACTTGAGACCGTCAACGAGCGCGCTTCTCCGCTTTAATTGCCGCTAGGCTCAGATTATTAAATGCGCTCAGTTTCCCCCCGCGGATATAAATGTTCCCGTTTGACGTTGGAACGAAATTTCAGCGATCGTTTATTTTACGCTGCGCCGAGACGTTTTCCGAGGCGCAGCGCGCCTATAATTTTGCCGCGAACAAGTGTGATAATGTCACAGCGTGCGCACACAGGTCTCGCTTGTCAACTTGTCGCTTTTGGTTCACGGCGCGCGGCGTTCGGCCTGCTCTTATTGGGATACTTGTCATGCAAAACGGGGGAAGCTTACGCGGTGATCCATAATAAATGCCGTTTTGGTATTTAAGTACCTGTTTGTATATCTCGCGCTTCGGTTTTTCGCGGTGACATCTCGTTATGCAGATCGCTGCAATTCCGGCAAAATCTTAGCAATCCTTTATTTTAGTAGCTGTTGTGAAATTTTGTCATTAAAGGAGATAATTATTTTTATTATACACGGAAGGAACGATTTTGCTGAAAGATCTAAAATTTTACTGAACACAGATTTAAAAATAAACTGTGTTGGACC